CATACCAATTACATCGATAAAATACAGTTCACGTACAATACGTATCAATTAGGTTCACGTACCAATAGGTTAGAAAACCAGCCTCAAGGGACCTCTGGACATTCCTCAAGTCAAGGAAGGAAATGTGACAAAATAAGCATGAGCTGCAATAAGGACGCCTTGACAATTTTGACTCTGAAAGACAATTTACTGCCAAGGAAACCTTTAAGGAATCCTCAGCACTCAAGTAGGCACTATGAATACCGGGCTAAATAACCTCTATCTGGTAAAACGCGTTTCACTAAGAACTCATTGTTGCAGTTGAAAAGTTCATCGTTGCCACCACAAAATCTGCACTAATAAAAATTTTCGTAGGTATATCTTCTATGAGACTTGGTTACCAACAACGCATAACGATACAAGAGAAATGACGATCGAAGTTGATACAAGAAAACAGAAGAATGAATGCATTGAGGAAGCGCTGGCTGGTTGCGTGGAATGAAGTAAACAGAAAGAATCAACAACAATAAACGCTATAAAAAACAAACAGGAAATTCCCAAAATCAAAGAAATCTCAAAAATAACTAAGACGAAGATGACGATATTGGTATTGAACACAATGAAATGGAAAGAACAACTTTTTCAAAACTAATATGTAGGTTGTTGATACAATGCATTTTTGCGAATCCATAAAAAGAGAGACATAGTACAGATCTAGACCCATCAGCTTACTTTCTCAAATATATAAATAATTCATAAGAAATATATGTAACGGAAAGATCGATGAACAAGCTAGATTTTTACTAAACATGAGAAAAGGCATGTTTCTCGTATGCTTGTGGTGTTCCATCATCATATGAGACAAATCTGCATCGAGAAAGTGTATACTTAGTACATACCTTAAGTTCTTGTCCTCATCGATTACGAAAATGGATTCGATATGACCACTATGTCTAAGTGCGGGTATTATAAAACTACTTTGAGAGTTAACTTTTGGAATTACATGTTATTCAAAAACTTCAAGTTAACTGTCAAAGCAGTTTTATAATACCCGCCCTAAAGCGAACTCGAAGTTCGAATCGACTATCCTTATACCAATATATTAATATCGAACGATGTTTGCAACAGAGAAATTCAAATTATGGCAAACTGGTACTGTGGCGACCCTAAAAATTTGGAGGTGCTAAAATCCCAGAAAATATAACTAAACTCAATTGGTAAAAGCATTTTTGTAGTCATTTTAATTAGAAAAGTACCTACGTCAGTTGCAAGATAATTTAGTCTCAACTTATTAAATCTTCTAGCGATCCAGCATCTAATTCCATATAAAAATAGTATAAATAAAAAAATGACGAAATTTCTAAGCCCAACTCAAATTATATAACAATTTTTTTACCAACACAAGTGACAAGCGACCGGATGTCAGAGTTCGATATCCCCAATTAATAGACTCTTGCGACATTCCGATTAAAAAAAAAGTCAATAAAAAATTATAAAATTAGGATGCGTTTAACCGGAAATCACTATACTCATGTGATTTAATTGTGTCATAGCTGATAAACTACAAAACTGGTGTTTCCGCCGGATGTTGCATCATATCCTAAGTAAGAACTTGAAAAAAAAAAAAAAAACAATTCTTGGAAAACAACAATGTCGTTTATCACTCGATAAACGAGGTCAAATAAGAGGATTGGTTCGAGAAATGCTAAATGACCGCCCACGTAACAGATTTTTGGTGGTAATTGAGTAATATTTAAGCAGGTTACAATCAGAAAAAAAAGGAGATAACATCCAGCAGTTGATTTGATAGTAATATTTTAAGAATCAAGAAAATTGGCAGTGAGTGAGTCTCCACCAAAAAATTTTTTTATCCTTGTTTTGCCTCGGGCAAAAAGCTAAAAAGTTTGCGATTGACTATTTTCCAGTAAGAGTCATAAAGTATTTTCAGGTTTTCCTTTGTGCGTGCTAAGTAACTGAAAGTAATTTTGATCGTTTGTGTATCTAAGGACAGATTGTAAGTACATGGAGAAATTTGAAACTTTAGTATTTATCTATTAGTGAATTGATTTTAAGAGAACTATCTAAGGAACTTTACTGAAAATTTATTTGATTTTCCGAGTGAAATGACATTTTAATTTATTTTGATAAAAAAGAGTTTAATAAATTTGGTTTAATTTGGAGTTCCTTCTGTTTGCAGACGATCTAAACATATATAGAGTAATATCTTCCTAATTTTAACGACTGGATTGCTTTGCAGGAGGATATCCACAGATTTGTGGCTTGGTCTCGTGATATGGCATGTATGGTGATATTTCATCCGTTGCAAACATAAAGGATCATGTAATTATTCACTGTACATTCCATTACAATTCTACAGTGTGTCCCACTTAAGGACTGACCACCCTTCTAAAAATTTTATTTTTCAACCGATTCAATTCATTTTTTTCTCATCTTATATTTACTTGAATTTGGCACTTATTTGGCACATAATTTTATTTCTGCAGCTGTACTGGTGTACAGGGCGTCCACATTTATAGGCTCAAATTTCAATAACTACTATTAGGGATTTTTTTAGAAAAAATTTGATAGCAGATTCTTGTTTAGAATGGTCTAAAACCCAAATGTACTAATTTTTGTTCCGATTTGATACAGGGTGAACACAACAAATTTTCAACATTTAATGGACCAAACCGGAAAAATTTCATATTTTGAGGCCTTGAGAACAACAAAACTTGATACAACGTAGTTTTAGAACATCCTTAACCAAAATTTGTAGTAAGCTTGCCTCAAAATATAACATTTTTGCGGTTTGATTCATCAAACTGTGAAAATTTGTTGTCGTCACTCTGTATCGTATTGAAACAAAAATTAGTACTGTTGGGTTTTAGACCATTCTAAACAAGAATCTGCTATCAGATTTTTTCTAAAAAAATCCCTAATAGTACTTATTGAATTTTGTGCCTATAAATGTGGACACCCTGTACACCAGTAGAGCCGCAGAAATAAAATTATGAGCCAAATAAGTGCCAAATTCGAGTAGATATAAGACAAAAAAAAAAAATGAATTGAATCGGTCGAAAAATAAAAATTTTAGAAGGGTGGTCAGTCCTTAAGCGGGACACACTGTATATTGCAGTCTTAGAAGTCTCTTGGATTATTCCACCTCTATATGGGACCCTCAGTATGCTTTCCATATCGACAGAATTGAGCCAGCGCAGGAGAAATTCATGCATCATATTCATTTCAAATTCTATAGAGACACTGAATATAACTACGAAGAAATGTGTCAAAGGCCTGACATCACTTCAAGAAAGGAGAAGTATTTATGGCCTAGGTACTCCTTTTTAAAATGCTCAAATCCCTTGTTGACTGTCTCACTTCCAGTGTCCTGTCACAGTTGAACCTTGTTAGAAGGCGACCTTTTTGTTAAGATTGCAGCCTAGCTTAATTAATGGAACGTTTTATAAGAATGGTTTACTTACATACTTAATATACAGGGTGTCAATTTGAAAACTTTCAATGCGAATATCTCTGAGAGTAAAGAAGTTAGAAAAACGTAATTTGGTACAAATGTTATACAGGTATGGGGAACTAGAACCATTATATTTTGGTTACGGGGTGAGTGACCCTTTGGGCTCCATGCACTCCAACTTCAAAATTTTGAATGACACCACCTGTTTTGTGATCGGTATAGAATTTTTAATACCTATTTAGAAGTACCAGTCGTTCTAGTGACAAAACGTATGTCGCTTCCTGACACACAAATAAAATTAGGTTAGGAATTTCCTATTTGTACATGAAATTGACGTATTAACAATCGACGTTCGTTTTTGTTGGTAATTTTTTGTTTCATCTGATTCATGATTGATAAATAAGGATAGGGTTATTCTAAAAGGGTATTACAAATACTATACCTAAAATTAAATATTTTTGAGTATAATATTCAACTGCACAAGATTTTTTTTTTTAAATATTAAATTTTGGGTATGACAAAAGGGGTGGTGCCATCATTTCAAATATTGGGGTTGGGGTGCATGGGGCCCCCAAGGGGCCATTATAACCAAAATATGGTGGTTCTAGTGTACTCTACTTGTATAACATTTGTACCAAATTACGTTTGTCTAACTTTTTTACTTTCAGAGATATTTGCATTGAAAGTTTTCAAATTGACACCTACAATAATATGTAGGTACCTACTTGTGTACTTTGAAATATTATTATTATCCTCTCTTTTTACTTGTTGCCTGCACATGTTATAGATTAAATTTAAATTATATTTTTATCATCGGTAAAAAATGGCACTACCGTCAATAAATAAATAAATGAATGAAAAGCAGAAAAAACTTCTATATATATAGGCAGTTTTTAAAGTTGGATCCAGTGGCATGGCAAATTTTTTTCCAAATGCCTGGAATATTAACACATGTTTTTTTTTTTTTTTTGGTAATGCGACACCACGAAGGTATATTTTTATTTCATTTCATAGCTAGCTCTCTTTGAGCTGATTTCAATGATATAAGGTTTCATAGCGGTATATCTGTACCTAAAATAGTTGTTGAGAAAAAAATTATAGAACCTTTTTTTTATGAGAAGTTATTGAAAGTCGATGAACAGGGAAAAAGTAATTATAAAATGAATCAACATTGCTGACAATCCGCTGCAGGACGTAATTAAGCAATGCTATTCATCTATCGCTGACAGTTTTCACACCAAAAATTTACATTTAATTAGTATACATAAGCTGACAACAAAGACGATTAGAGACAAAATTTAAATGCAAATTGACAAAAGAACAAATTACTTTCTTGTATATTTAATGTTAAACTCGGAAGATATAAATAACTGAAATGGTAATTGATTTTTTTTCCAGGAAAAATTAAAATATATTCAAATTATTTTATATTGAAAATTTCTGTTCAAGAATTTATTTAAAATTCAATAATTATTCGATTGAAAATATTGTTCTATTGAAAAAAATATTTCATTTAATTATTAATTTCAATATCTACTTATACACTTACTTTTCCAGCTCATTGTTGTCGATAAAGGCCTGTCTCAATCTGGCAATGGCTTGTTGTAGATTGACATATCCGGGATTTTGTTCTTCCAGGCCCAATGGTGAATAGTAGCCAGAATAACTGCGAAAAGGAAATATGATATAATACAGATTTCAGCAGGGGGTACGTCATACCAAGACAAATTGTGGAGAAATATAAGAAAATTTAGTTTCAACATGTTAGCTAACTTTTGAGCGGATATGGTAACAATAGCGCATATCCTCAATCAACTGAAAATAGCTCACTTCTAAAGCAAATTAGGATTTTATTATAGTTAATAATGATACTAGTTCGATATGAAAATCATAATGGAACGCGTGTAACGTGTAGCGCGAACACGCTTGTTAATTTTTGGAATTTTGACATTGGCAGCTTCAATACTGGAGTCCATTTTTGTGCCACAAATTCAGTACATTATAAACCTAGGTAGAGAAGTTGGTCATTATATACCGAGCGCTTTTATAAACCGAGGCGCGAAGCTCCGAGCTTTATAATAGTCCAAGAGCCGGCAATACTAACGGGTATGTGATCGTTGCAATAGATAATTTCTACATAAAACAATAGTTCATAGTAACCTTTAAACCAGATGGATGGGTTGCCTTGATTCTCATGGCCGTATAAAGTTGTTTTATAAAAAGATACTTTTATAAATAGAAAAAAACCATAAGCGCAACAACCCCGGTGTAGGGGGTACTCATCATACGCAGCAAACACTTTTTTAACACAATTTCATGTTTCTTTTTTTATCTAAAGACCTACAGCCGTATGCAAAATCCTCTTCACAGAATCCTCTTTTAACTTTAAAAGTGACTTTGAAAGCTGTCACTTTCAAAAAATTGTATTTAGCAAAGAAAATAACGCACGCGCTCGACTTTCAATGAGGGGTGCCATCATTTCAAAATCGAGGCAACCCAATATATTATTTGAGAAGACATATTAAAGAATATATCTACCAATTTCTAGCTATTGCAACGATAACATTGTTCCTTCGAAAAAAGAGGGGTAGTTTACGCCCAGCCACCAAAGGGTTGCGGCCATGATAATCAAGGCAACCCAACCATCTAGTTTAAAGATAACTATGAGCTATTCTTTTATGTGAACATTATCCATTGCAACGATCACATACCCGTTAATATTGCCAGCTCTCCTACTATTAGTAAAGTCATGGAACCAACTAGAAATTCTAGAAAAAATACATTGATTTAAAACATAATCATTCAAATATAAATGTCAACGTCATAGGTGCTTTCATAAATGCAACCAGAACAGTCAACACACATGAGAACAAAATAAACAAGAACACTCTGAGTAAGCTTTTGGGATACTCATTTCAACATCCCCACTATCACAAAAACTCATTTCTTACTAACTAAACCCAATTTATTAACAAACAAATTATGTTTCACTGTTGGTAAGCCTTTTGTTAAGATATCAGCTGTCATTTCATTTGTTGGAAGATAATTAATATTTATCTGATTATTCTGTATCAATTGCCTTATGAAATGATGCTGACATCTATATGCTTCGATCTCTTGTGAAAAATAGAATTTAATGCTAATTTACCGGCACTTTGATTGTAGTTGAACACTGTCACAACACTCTTATAATTAATCAACACTGACAAAATGTTACCTAAATAAATAGCATCTTTGGCAGCTTCACTTAGGCTCATGTATTCAGCCTCTGTGCTCGAGAGTGCTACATTTTTTCTAGCCTGGTTTATACAGAAAAATATAAAATAAAATTAGAATTATTTTGAACCAATCACCACACGCCTAAACTGTCATCGGTATAATCTAATTGACGTCGTGACATGTGCAAATAGCATTTTCACATAATAGTACATTAAAATACAAGTTTCATAAGACGTCATTTTATCGCACGAGCCCTATATTAGAAAACGAGCCGGAGGCGAGTTTTCTAAAGGGCGAGTGCGATAAAATGTCTTATGAAACGAATATTTTATACTATTTTTTCTATTTTGGTATTGTTTAATAAAAAAAAAAAACTTTTCTTGGAAATTTTATTCTCATATTTCCTGACTTCATATGTTTAGGTTGGCAACACTACATGCCAAATATAGAAATCTTCTATTATTTTTTATTGCGAATGACAGTTACATGGCCATCAGTTAGCCAGTGTCACCAACCTCCGATAAGTAAAAAAGGAGTGTCACAAAGAGCTTCTTTTCGAAACTACTTTCAGTGTCGAAAAGACTTCGATTTGACACCAAAATAGAAAAAATAAAATAAGAAGTTAAAAGTTAACTAACTTTTTATTTTTGCTTATTTCTTATATTATTTTATTTTTGTATATAAACGCCACCGTGGCCTTCCATAAGGCAATCTTTCAATTTTATTTTATTTCTTATTTTATTTTATTTTATTTTATTTGCTGTATAAACCCAGCTTTTGTTTGTTGCTTTTCCAACTAACAGCTGCACCGGATAAAGTAAAAACAATACCACTCTATGACTTTCTGTAATTTTTATTGTTAGCCAAATCTGATGCTGCCTAGCCTTCAAGATCAAAATTATGACCTTTTTGAAACTTTAGTTGGAAATGTTTGGTACCCTTTAAATACCGGAGCACTTTTTTTGCACACTGCCAGTGTTCTTCTGTGTAGCTATTATATTGGCTAAGAAAGCTAACAGAATATGCTATGTCTGGATGACTAAGAACAACCAGATACATGAGACTACCAATTAACTTTTGATATGGAATACTCTGATTACAAGTTCCCCCCTGAATATTCTCAAAATCAACATTTAGAGTAGAGATAATGGGTTAAGGACTTTGGAAATAAAACTCCCTTTTTTCAAAAAGTTATGCCGACGTTTCGACCATATATTTGGTCTTCTTCACAGGCTATTTTTTACCAGCACAGGCGTTTGACGTCAAATACCACTGTAGGAAACATTCCAAAACACAAAGGGACACACATTAGTCTAAATTCTTTTTCAATTTTTCGTCTGTATATCGATAAACACATATAGGTAACAGTAAGTTGGCAAACACAGCCGCAACTCAGTTATGGTCGAAACGTCGGCATAATTTTTTGAAAAAAGGGAGTTTTATTTCCAAAGTCCTTAACCCATTATCTCTACTCTATCTCAAACACTAAGGACGTTATCTATAAAGATGTAAAATCAACATTATTATCAAGTGAAGTGGAAACACTTTTACATTCTGACATATCGAACTTTTTGAGTATTTCATCAATGTAGTCTGCCTGATCTAATGAAATAAAATTCTCACTGTAACCTCTTTCAATTCTTACTCCCAAACACTGCTTAGCCTCACCTAAATTCTTAATTTTGACATTAGTGGTTAAATGATTCACAATGATTCTCTATTATTAAGAGGGGGGTCAGATAAGAGCCAGCGCGCTAGTTTTTGGGCTTTATGACATACATTAAATATTTTTTAATCACAGGTGTTCAAATTCTCTGTAAGTGATTGACTTATTTATAAGTAGATGGCGACATCTTCAATATCAATTCGTTTACACAGTAATTTACAGTGGACTAATAATTTTATTCAGATGCAAATGAAATAATAGTATTTCAGATTTTTAGCTAGGTAAAACAGTTTTTACTGGCGTTTGAAAGAAGTGACGACCCTTCCCGAACTCAGGGACATCTTTAAGAGAAGAGCTGAACACACGTTTGGTTTGAGCAGGAAAATGCCAGCAATCACCTGCTTGTTTGGCATTTTTGGCAGATTTTGATTAACTTTGGAATAAATTTGCATATTGTTGTCAACAAAAATTGTTAATAATTTTAGTATTTAGACTGCGTATTTTGCAACAAAAATGGGAGAACTCCTACACCAATCTATTATTGTTATGAACATAACTTCATTTTACTGAAAAGTGGTCTAAATTTGGAATAAAACAGAAATTTGTTAAGGTCTGTAAATGATATTTTATTTAAACGCCCCTCTTAAACTCTACAGGGTCGTTCGAAAAAATAAAGAAGTCGTCTACATAGAGGGCCACAACTGTAATAAGATTATTATTCTTTCTGATATACAGTGAGTTCATAAAGTCCCGCATAAATTCATTATTTTCGAAACGGTAGAATTTTTTGCATCTTTGACAGGCTGTAAAACCTAACCGGTTAATTTTACAGCAAAACCGATTTCACATTCTCGTCTGTAGTCTGTAGCTTTTCATAAGCTATCATTTGACACCAACCTTGAATTTAACCGGAGATTAAATTTAACGGGAATTTTTAATCATGGAATAACTTCAAAGATGGTGTCAAATGATGGTTTATGGAAAACTAAGATAAGAATGTATGATCGGTTTTGCTGTAAAATCAACCGCTCAGGTTTTACAGTCTGTCAAAGATGCAAAAAAGTCAATTTTCAACTGTCAATATTTCTGAAACAGTTGAAGATAGGTATATGACATTGTTCATGAAATATTTCTAGAATGTTCCGCAGAATCCAGAAATATCATAATATACAGGGGGTACCATTTAAAAAAAAAAAATTGATACCAGAGAAGCTATTTTTGAGACACCCTATGATAAAAAATATATAGAAAAAATTCCAACAAAAAAAAAACAAAATTGGCGTGTCTGAGCGATTTTTCAAAAATTTTACCGTTTTGAAAATAATGACTTTATGCGGGACTTTTTGAACTCACTGTATAAACATGGTTCATATTGAGATTTTTTATAGTTTATTTCAAATAGAACTTTTTCGACTTTTTCATACCAGGCTGCCCGTTTTAACTTATAAGCTTTGTTCTCTGATCCCCTTAGAATAAAACCTTCTGGCTGCCTTATGTAAACATTTTCCTTCAAAACCCCATTAAGAAAAGCTGTTTTAACATCCATATGTACACTTTTTAAATCAATTTGAACTGCCAATGCTACTAAAAGTCTTAATGTAGAATGTCTCACCACTGCACTGGTGCAAATGTCTCCGTATAGTCAATTCCCTCTCTCTGAGATAAGCAAGTACTCATAACTACGAAATTAGCTCTTTTTTGAGATTACTTCGACAATTTGACGTTTGATTCACGCATAAAACATCAAATTATCGAAGCAATATCAAAAAAGAGCGAATTTC